CTCCAGGAGCAGCCTGTGCCCCATCTGCTCGTTGGCTGATGCCGTAGCTGTCACTGCTGCTGCCCTTCGCACCATTCACCAGCAACCCAGAACCTTGTACTCATGGTGACAGGTTGTGACCAGGAGCAGCAGCCACTGTGCCCAGTCTCACTCGGCTCCCCAGCCAAGGGCTCCCTCCATTTCATCTTTGCTTATGCTGCTGCTCTGATGCATCATGGGAAATTCTAATATTGTAAAAGCCTAAGTCTGTTTGTCTGTAATGCTTTATTCGCACTCTGATTGGCCCATGGAAACAGCCAATCAGAGCGCTCCAAGTGTGGGGGAATGCCACCATGGTTCTGAAACCGTGCTGAGGACTGGACAGAAGGTGGGGGCCCCACCCCGCCCCCTGCAAGCAGCATCGAGGACCGGACTCGCTGCAAGAGGCAGAACAGCGGTATAATGGGGCATTAGGTGGTCTCACTCCATCCCAGCCCCCTCCCCTGTCATTCTTGATGGGCAGTTGGCTAGTAAATAAATATTTCCCTTCACTCGGTGACAGGGAGAGGAACAGGCACCAGTGGTGGCAGCAGGATTAGGTCCAGCTCGCCCAGCCCAAGCACTTAAGCCAAGTAGTGTGCTGCTGCCTCCTGCTGCTGCCTTTTGGCTTGTGCACTATGCAGTGAGTCTCACTTGGAGAGACACGCACACATCCATCCCAGGCACTGTACACATGGTGCAGCTGGGGTCCCAAGGTGCAGAATGCCCTGTGAGGAGGGGTTAACAGGACAGCAACCTAACTTGAGTCATTAGGAGATCTGGTACAGAAGTTCAATAGGCCTGTCCAACCTAAATTCCTTAAGTCTAACAGTGCATCCGTGCAGGTCTGTCTTAGAACAAGTCCTGCCATTTGTAAGCCAATCTGTATGCACTGTACTTCCATATTGTTACAGATTTAGACTGTTTTTTGGTAACTTAAACCAGTTTGCATGTAATATCTGTACTTGGCCTTTAAGTGAAACATCTGCCAGAGCTCTGAGTAGCAGCACCTAGGGAGAAGAGCCTGCTTGTTGTTCAGCTCTTGAGTTGCATGCAAATTTTACTTTCACTTTTGCTCATAACTGGCAGAAACTGTTCTTACTGCATTTTGTGCATGTAGTGCTCACTGCAATTTCCAGCAGCAGGTTTTTGGAAAGAAGTGCATGTTTTATGTGAGAAAAATAGTAATTACATTTCATTCTCATCAAATCTTGTCATCCATTTTACTTTTGATGTTATTAAGTTTGCATTGATTTGCACTATAAAGGAGGTTTTTAAAGGAAAAAAAATTCTCTGGGTTCTTGTAAATATTGAAAAAGAAGATGAAGCAGAATTGCTTTGGTCTGTCTGGAGTATTTTTAGGCTTCAGAAACAATGGTATTTACAAGTACAGTTATCAGACTGGGAAGCAACTTGTAACTCAGAAAATAAATATTTGAGCTACAGGGGTGTCCGTAGACATGGCAAGGACATTGCTCTGATGTGCTGTAATTATACTGTGTTAGAGCAGACTTGATTAATTGAGTCCGCTAGAGTGTGCTTATTAGCGTGCTCCGGCAGCTTCTGTATCTGATGTATTCACCATCCCTGCACTTCAAAATGGTGGCAGGAACACTTTAACTAAAGGTCTTCGAATGAGCTTTAGTTGAAGTACCCCCACTGCCATTTTGAAGTTCAGAAAGCTGAATAAACAAGACATTGCAGGCACTTTAAAGCAGCTCTAATTAAAGTGCCTCCCCCCCTCCCCTGTTTAGCCCTGCATGTGCATGGGCCAGGAACCATGGTGGGAAGTGTTAGTTCTGTCATGTACAACATGCATCCATTAAAGCAACAATCTTTTTACTTATAACAAAATTTGTGTTAACTTTTTAACTTTGGCAGAAGTAATATTAACCTGCTCCTAGTGTTCCATGTCTGCCATCATACCTATAGGCTGGGGAGTGACCTTCTCAGCACCACTGAGGCAGAAAGAGATATTGGAGTCACTTGACTCCAGGATGAACATGAGTTGTCAATGTGATGAAGTAGTTGGCAGGGCCAGTTGCATCTTGTCATGCGTCCATAGGTGCTTCACAAACAGGTCCAGAGAGGTCATTCTCCCTCTCTACACAGCGCAAGTCAGGTGGCAGCTGGAGTACTGTGTCCAGTTCTGGACGCCGCAGTTCGAGCGGGATGCAGACAACTTGGAGAGGGTCCAAAGAAGAGTCACTTGTCTGATTGAAGGCCTGCAGGGAAGGCCCTACGAGGAAAGGCTAAGGGACCTTAACCTCTTCAGCATCTCCAAGAGAAGGCTGAGAGGAGACCTTGTGGTGGAATACAAATTTATAAGGGGAGAGCAGCACGAAGTAGGTGATGATCTGTTTACCAGGGCACCCCCTGGAACAACCAGGAACAATGTCCATAAGCTATTGGAGAGTAGGTTTAGACTGGACATTAGAAAAAAGTTCTTCATGGTCAGGGTTGCCAGGATCTGGAATAGGCTTCTAAGGGAGGTGGTGCTCGTCCCATCCTTGGGAGTCTTCAAGAGGAGACTGGACAGGCACCTAGCTGGGATCACATGACCTTTGTGATCATGGGTCACCAAAGGGTTTGGTGACCCTTTTTTTGCCTGCCAGGGGTAGGGGGTTAGACTAGATGGTCCACTGAGGTCCCTTCTGACCCTGGAATCTTATGAATGTCAGGTTGACCACATTTGCATCTGCCAGCACTGCAAAAGACAAGTTGTGCTTATGGATAGTCTCTTGATAACCTGCAGTCACAGATGTTCCTGTTAAATTATTGATCTGCCTGTTTCTCAAGTGTTCCTCAGACTGCTTGTGTTCTAGCTGTGGGTCTACTGTATGCAACAAACATCAATATTGGGCCCTTTCTGACAGGGATACTTTAAATTTTGTTATACAAGTCCCAGTTTCCTTCACAGTTTTTCATGGAGAGGTGAGTATGGAAGCTATTCTTGTGAATCAGCTACGGGTTATTTTATCCCATCACTTACGAGAAACTTCACAAAGTAGAATTAAGGCATCTTGCATTGCTTTGTCCTTAAACACTTTAAGTACTCTGAGGTTTTCTTGGTTGGCTGGTTGCTTGCTTTTAGAAGAGAAATAATAGAAGTACAACAAGTATTGTAGTTCGGAAAGATTTTCCACTTGGAAAGTACATTTGCATAGAGAATTTCATTTACTTTTTAAAGTTTTCTTTTAACTACATCCTTTTCTATAGTTCTATAAAGTTTTCTCATGTTCTGAATTAACTATCTTAATACAAGAGAATTTCCACCCAGAAATTATACTGCTTTTTTCACTTATAATTAGTTACAGTCTGACTGAGCTAACAGTTGTGAACCAGAAATGTGTTCAAGTATCAGTCAAAGGAAATCTTCATGAAAACATGTAAACTAATTTATATCTGCAGTCCAGAATAGTAGTAACTATGAGGTGGTAACCTCACTTTCCTCCCCTGGTTATTGGGAGGCATAATTCTGTTCAATTTGTTTAAGCCTTTCTGGTGGGAACAAGTTGCAAAAAAGTGTAGTTATAATGGGTAGTATTTTCTAAATGACCTTAGTACCTCGTGTGTAGGTACTTATAAAAATTAAGCGAAGTCTCGTTCAGTTATGAAAAGGTTTGGGGTGGTTATAGTTTAAAACAGTTCCAAGGAAGTTGAATCTTTGTCAGACAATTGGGCCTTGTGTTTTAACTCAAGTACCCCCAAAAGTTTGTATTTACATAGGCAATTACTTTGGTTAAATGGAATTAGAGTATTTATGGATGCTAGTCAGTTGGATCTAGCTGGAAGCCCAGACATTCAGTTGCCCTGACTTAATCAGCTTTGCACGAAATTAGGCACTAGTGTTGAGAGAGATGCTTTAGAAAAACGGTTTGCTGCGAAATGTATTTTCAGGTCAATTAAAATTATTTGCAAATTTGTTCTGAATTTAGCTAATACTGAAAATGACAAAGAAAAAGTCTTATCCAAATGTTTCATTTTAGTATTAAAATGTGAACTGTCTTAAAAAGGATTTTTATACTAAGTTTTATAAAATAGCCAAGGTATTTCATTTCAACTTGACCAACCCTGAAATGTTTTGTTGTTCTATTTTGGTTTTTTTCCTTCTACCAACAAAATGAAAAATCAAAAATTATTCTCAGTGCTTCGTGAGGCCTGCAGTTTGAAGCAGTTTGAATATCCCAAACTTGAAATGCTCTCGACTCTTGTGAAATCTTGGAATTTAAAAAGAAAATACATAAGCTGACAAAGTATACATTTCTGTTACTTACATAAATATAAGGGTTGGGTAGCAGTTGCTTTTAAGTTTTAAGAGAGATATAATTATTTTTGTGCCACAGTTCCATAGTCAGCAGCTATTCCCCCTCCCACTAAAATTAGGGGGAGCCACAACTATTTTCTACAAAATCTACAACAGCTGAAATGATAACATACTAAAGAGAGCTAACTAATGTCGGTGACCATAGAAAGTTTAAAATAAAGAAGAAAGTGCCCATGTTGAAATAAGTATCATAATGAATCACAAACCTGACAGCACCATAATATGTTTTAAGCTTTGGTTTCAAATCATTCTAAATTCCAGGTTGATTGTTTCAAAGGCTGGGACTCATCTGAGGAGTCAGTGTGCTGTTTCAACGTCATTTCCTCTGGGGAAAATAATATCTCCTTTTTCTGGTTTCTGTCTTATTTCCTACTGTTTGGTGCTCACTTTCCAGATAGCATAATTTGGAGCTTGGCTTGGAATAGATGCTTCTAAAATGGGAAAGAACAGGATGGGAATCCTTTTAAAAGAAAACATGGCTTGGTTTATTTTTCTAAGGACCAGCTGTTAGAAGTTCAGCGTGAGTGGACAGTGGTCTTAGATAAATATGGACCCCAAGAAAATCAAGGGCTCTCTGTTTCTCACACACATGCGCGATATAGGTGCTACAATTTTTGTGCAGTTACTTTATGCCATATGTTTTTCTCCTTCTTAGAGCAGAGAAGATAACAACTGAAAATACACCACCTCAAGAAGTGAATAATATGTCAAACCACCGGGTCTTAATAAAACCAGAAGCACAGAATAATCAGAAAAATAAAGAAGTAAGCAAAGCTGAAGAGAAGAAGGCTTTGGAAGCTGAAAAATATGGGTTCCAGAAAGTTGGACAAGACAAACCCTTGACTAAAATTAATAGTGTAAAGCTAAATTATTTGGGATCAGAATACAGGACCTTACCAACAAGCACAGTTCAGGCTGCACATTTCAAGCCAGTTCATTTAAATGGGTCTGAAAATAAAGCTGTCAATGTTATCCTGGCGGACGCTGGAGATGGAGGCCAGCACAATACAGCTCAGTCGCATATGGAGTCTGAGCGAGTCATGCAGAGAACTAACTCAATGCTGCAGTTGGAACAGTGGATTAAAATGCAGAGAGGAAAAGGGCAAGAGGAAGAAACAAGAGGGTAAGAGTTTGAGATTATATTTGAAACTAGACTTTCTACTATGTATTTATAGTTGTGATCTGCATTAGATATAGAGTTGTGAAGTTAACTCTGCTGCATGCACGTATGGTTCTGCGTTTGGCTTTTCAGTGCTATCTCGCCTGATTGCATGCACTGGTTACCTAGATATGCAACTGAAGCGGTTCTGTGAGAAGATGGTATTTAGCCTGGTAACAACTGCATCTGAAGAAGAAATGCCAAGACAATTTTAGACTCAACACTGAGAGTTGGGAAGGGATATAAGAAACGCAGTAATTTTTTTTTACATGAATTGCAGTTGCTCCTGAACTTCAGTATTGCTATATTGTGTGCTTTAAAAAGAGATATTAATGCATTAAAGCAAAGGGAAAGCAATGATACTAACCTAAATGTTGTCCAAATTAAGTGAAATAAAGTGTGAACACCCAGCATAATTAGATTGCTCAAATGTTAATTCAATCTTAGACTTAAATGTGCACTCATAAAATGAGAGACACAAAAAAGCAAGGGAAATCCAAAAAATAATAAAGGTATATAAAGCATCAAAAGTTACTTGCTCCTGTTAAAGATTAGTTTGAAGTTTGTGTGCATTTCTAAGAAGAAGACTTGCATACCAGAGTATCTTGTGATCGTGGCATGAACGTGGTGAGTAGGTATTACCCGTGAAGTGCATGGGTGTAGTTGAGACCCATGAAGTGCATGGGTGTTTGGAGTTGTGACCTGCTTTTTCCTCTTCCCCTTTCCTTTTTCCCCTTCTCTGCTCCTTTCCCAGTAGTGGGATTGTAATATCAGAAGGAAATCCATCCCTCTCCCCTCTTACCTCCTCACCTTCTCCTTTGCCTGTCTTGTCTCTGCTCTTCTCCCTCAGCTGCTGTCAACCTACGAACAGTTCATTGGTGAGTAATGGGATTGTGTAGCATCAGAGGTAAGTGGATGATGCAGTGAAGGGAGAGGGGGACCACAGACCAGATAAGTCCATCATATGTAGAACTAGAAGAAAATGATCTTTAATGTTAAATATACCTCTATTCCCTGAGAGAGATGGTCAGAAACTCCTCTCCAGGTGTATTTAGCTTCTTGCTTATAGCATAGGCTTTGAACACCAGTTATGTGGTTCTCATTACAGTTCAGAAAGAGGGTTTGTGCTGAATAATAAAAAAATCGTGATTACTCAATTTTCCTTATAAAGCCTGTTTGTGAAATTGTCCAGGAACAGTGTTTCATGTGTCTGTTTTATGAACGGGGTTTTTTTGTGGTAACTTTTTTAAACCTTTTGCTTTAAAAAGAATTCTGGGCTATTTTTAATCTGTGGTAGCAAAATTAGATTACATCATTTGGAGTTGGTCATGCAGATTCACCTAAATTGATCTTCAGTTTTATTTTCTAAATATAACTACCTAAATAAATGTCTAATGCTTCCAGGTTTTTAGTGAATTACAGTGCTTACCTTTAAAGCTTTAAAGTGCCTCTGTGACTGGTTGGCACTATAAAATCTTGTGCCAATAGCAGTTATTTCTCATGACAGAAATAAAAAGCCTTCCAGGCTGTCTGACAGGCAACTGTACCACCCTAAACGCATAAGATCTTAATATCCAGTATACAGACTTTCTTTAAAAATTAGTTACGCTCAAATATTCCAGTTTAAATTAAACTATTGTAATAATGGCACAGCAGGTGGAAGTGTTTGAAAATGATAGGCTTCACCTAGGTTAAGGAATGCAGACACAAGAGGAGGCAATTGGACCTAAATAATCTACTTTCCTGGAATGTTAGGACATGTTATTGTGAATTTATAAAGATTTACTCTAGGCTCATTTATGCTTGTCAAAAATTGTTGAACAAACTAGTTCCTCCTCCCTTCTCTACTCCCATTAAATATAATTGGTAACTGCTCAGTCTCTCTGGGCTCAAGTAGTCTTTCTGGGTGCACTTGTATTGACAGTTTGATCAAGTGTAAATTAAAATTTGTACTACAGAGTGACTCTCTCGCTCTGACATTTATCACATTATGTATGCTTGGGTAATGCAAGCTTGATATGGTTGTGTGATGTAATTAGTCTTAAAATTAGAATTCAAAACTTGTGTAACTTGCAGACAGACAGTGAAACCTGAATAGCTATGTTGTTTCCAATTGTGAAGAAGCATAAAACCTTGAGAGTTTTCTCCCTTCTGGATTCTTATCGCTTCTCCATTATTATGCTGGCTGTATTCCAAAACAAACTGATTCCATTGTAGAAGCTGTGTAGTGGAAAACATTATTAACTGGCAGCATCAGAATCCCTTTGACCACACAGAGCATTTGTTATTTAAATATGGGTGAAATCAGTAGCACAAGCAACTGTCCTGAGAAATGAGACTTTTAAAGCTGACCAGAAAAGTGGAAGAAAAAGAGAGCTTGTGATTTTTTTTTCTTTTTCTGTTCTGGCATGCAATAAGATGGTCTAGAGTGTTTGTTTGTTTGTTTGTTTTTCTCAAACAATTTTTTGTTTTAAATGGATTTTAGTGGATTTTTAATGGGTTTTTTTACATTAGAAATTCAGGTGTTATCCAGTGTGGTGGAAGGTTCTGATCTCAGAACTAGTGAAATGGTGGCATCACAAAAGAAAGAAATTTGAGATATTGAGAGTCAAAGGACTCATTATTCAACATTTAAAACTGAGTTTTGTTTGTTCCTTAGTAGGATGGAAATTTAGGATTCTGGAAAAGTAGGGCTAGAGGGAAAGGAGACCTCAGGAGGTCATCTAATCCAGTCCTGTGCTCAGAAAAGGATCAGCTCTATCAAAATTTGTTTATAATAAACCCATTTAGTTGACTGTTTATGGTTTTGTAGAAATACACCTTTTTGTTTAGAGATTCAGTATCCTCCAGCTTATGATAAAGTTGCTTTCCATACCCATCCTTGCATACCCTACCTATCCACCCAGTTTTTCAGCTAAAAACAGAAAATCAAACTAGACTCATAATGCTTCAGAAGTTTTTTTTTTAAAAAGTCTGTAAACATAATAAATAATCAAAAGGCACATACCTACTTTTTAGTTCTTTGCAAGTAAACTGTATGATTATAGGACTTTTTAGATTTGTGCAACATTTGATTGTATCAATAATAGCTAAGAGTTGTTTATGATGTAAGCATGAAACTGAAAAATTACTGAAGGAATACTGTTTAAAGAGTAGGCTACGATCCACCTTTGTAGTTCAAGATTGGCCAAGAAAAAATCTCCTAAGATCTGTATCTCTTAAGCTCTGTATCGTCCATCCATCCATCAGTTTTACCATGTGGCATTTATATGCAAGAAACTGTATGTCCCACAGCTCATATATTTAAAAGTTTTTGAAAAAAAAATTCCCAAGATCAAGCACATACATAATAAAGGAAGACTGTTAATTAGCGATTGCACAGATTTTGCTTTTTTCTCCCTTTCTTAGGAACATTTTTTTTCTCTTACTTTTAGCTTCATGAGACCCACACAAACAAGGGAAACTATACAGGGTTTAGCAATGTTTGCTGTTCAGGTTTTGTTAAATATACGTAATTTTTTTCTGATCTTTTTGTAGACTACTTTGAGGTACTACAAGAGAATGGCTCAGTTAAGGGTTCTCTTTTGATTATGAAAAATATGCTTGCACAGTGTATGCATTCACCCATTGTCAGAGTGCTCAGAAAGAGACCCAAGCGCATATTTCTGACTAGAAAACTGGTCCCCTATAAAGCCCTGGATTTCCTTCCCTTTTTTTCTTTTTCTTTTCAAGATTACTTAACTGATATTTTCCTCTTTACACTTGCACACATCACAGTTTCTAGTCTAAGAATGAGAAACTTGTTTCCTAAGGCAGCCATCAGTTATCTACTTAAGGATGGAGTGTAATTTTTAATGCTTAATCTTTCTTATCTGAGGATACTTGCACCTCACAGAATTAAATCTTTAGAGAGAATAGCAGAACACTCACCCACAATAAAAAAAATTAATATCAGGATTGGAATAGATCTTGAACCATCCAAAATTGAATGAATGGAAGCTTATCCAAAAAAAAACAAACCCAACAAAAAAAACTCCCTAACCTTGTAGTTTTCCTGAACGTGAAAAAATGATGAGTCATTTGTATTGCGTGCTGTAGAGAGGTTTTGCCCAACAGCAAATTGAACAAATACTGATTTGACTTAATTGTCTTAAATCAAAATTCTGTACTGCACTTTAGGGCTTTGGTAAGAAAGTTGGGTATGCAGGAATTGCCAGAGACCTGACAAACTTATTGTGATTTTAAGGCTTCATTTAATATCTTCATAGTGCTAATAATTTGTAAATAAGGGTTGGTGGACTTAAATCTTCCAAAGTGTGAGAGTGTAGGCAAAAGGGTTGCATGAAAATGTTTATAATTTAATTTTTTACATGTTCAAAACTTCAAGTAGGTTCCTTCCTCCCCTCCCCCTCACAAAGAAACACGCCTCTAGGCCTTGAACTCCTTTATTTTTTAATTTCAAACTCTAGAAAAAGTACACATTACAAATAGTGAAAAATGTAACTTAGAAAGTTGGGGGAGAAAAGGTATGTGCATTGAAATGCAAGCCACACCCACACCTCCCCTCTCCTGCCCCAGAAAAACAACAAAACCCCAACTAGGCTTACAGGGTACCTTTACACATGCTCTGGGGGGTCGGGGGGGGCTCTTTAATCTGAGAGCTCCTCTAATTAAAGTGTCTGTAGCATCTCATATCTTGAGCATCCCATACTTCAAAATGGTGGCAAGAGCACTTTAACTAAAGCTCATCTAACAAGCTTTAGTTAAAACACCCCCACCACCATTTTGAAATGCAGCGTCACTGAATACATGAGGCACAGAGGCTGCTGGAGTCAATTAATGGAGTCTACTCTGATGCACTGTAATAACAGCATGTTGGAGCAGCATCCCCACATGTCCACAGGCACCCACAGTGTAGGCAATTCAAATGAAGCTCATGTCAGAACAAGGGTGGGAATCTATTCCCATTTCTGCTCAACTTTGGGCCGGGCAGGTTATCTTCCTGTGTGTGTTTAATTTACCAGTCTACCAAATCATAGATAATACTTGTAACCTCCCTGAGAAGTAATGAAGATTAATTCATTGGGACAGGGGTTGCCACCCTGTGGCATGAGTGCCAGAAATGACATTGGCAGGTTCAGTGTAGCATGCAAAAGGGACAGGCAGCAGATTGGTTAGGAGGCAGAAAGGGCAGGAAGCAAGGAAGGGCAAGAGATTAGGCAGGGGAAGGGTATCAGAGCAGCACTTGGAGGGTGTGGGACTAATTTGTTGCATCCTTGCCACTGCATTAGGGTTTGTAATACACTTGATGGCAACTTCCATTTGCAAAGCAGTCTAGGTATTTGTAAATATTTAGTTAATTCAGCTCAGTTTCTCTATTTTTGTACCAGTTATAGGTAAATAGTTGTTAGAAACAAATGAACTTTGTTAGCACTTATTTCACTATTTGACTAACTATAGCTCTTAATGCTGTTTTATTGGTTCTTTAGTTCTAAAATACTGATTTTTTTTTTTTTTCAGTTCCAGGATCATAGTTGATTCAAATGGTTAAATCGGTTTGGTCATAAAATGTGATGCCTTTCAGCTTTAGGCTGTCAGTTTGAATTGTGGGTGTGACTAGAAGTTCCTGATCTCTGTTCTCATGTCCTGTAAGAAGTGTTAAGTTTCATTTCATTTCCTCCATGCTGGAAAAGTACCAATTCCACCACTACAAATGGCCTTTAATAGTAAATTTCACAATGTTCTTAGAGCAGGCATTACACAGACCAAGACATGTGGCCTAGCTTCTTGCCTTGCTGGAAACAGTTCCTCCAACCACAGTTAATGAACGTGATGATTTTTATGGACTATTTTTTCCCTGATGCTGCTTATTATGTTTCCCAAGCTCTATGAGTCTGGGGACTCTGTTTTCAAGACTGTTTATCTGGCATTAAAAGAGGTAACTGCTGCACTGTGTGCCTCTGCCCAGTCGGGCATTAGCCCAACTTAACCCCTTGTGGGCAATAAGTAGGCCACAGGCAGGCATTTGGACAGTTCTACATTAAATCATTACCAATATTTCTGCCTTGCTGTAACTGTAGTTAAGTTGAAATAAAAAGGAAGGTCATAGAGCCATATCATGAGTATCTGAAACTCCAGTTAATAAACAAAACATCTACCACCTCAGGAATTGGCCCCAAATTGGCTCTCCTGTACAGTAATCTGATATAGAGATTATATTGATACGTATTTTGAGAGTAAACTGATCATAAAAAAATGGTTTAGTTAAGAAAAGGGAAAGATGTTAGAAAACTTTGCATTCTTGCAATAGCAATGTTCTTGACTATTAAAGCAAAACTCTTGTTTCAGCATTATTTCGTATCAGACGTTGCCAAGAAATATGCCAAGCCATCGACCTCAAGCTTTACCGCGTTACCCAGAAGGCTATAGAACCCTGCCACGGAACACCAAAATGAGGCCTGAGAGCATCTGTAGTGTAACGCCATCCGTTTACGACAGAACCATAGGGCCAGTAACAGCTGAAGAAAAACGGAGATCAATGCGAGATGACACAATGTGGCAACTCTATGAATGGCAGCAACGTCAGTTTTACAATAAACAAACAACTCTTACTAGACATAATACTATAAGTAGTCCAAAAACCATGATTAATATTTCTGATCAGGCAATGCATTCAATTCCAACATCACCTTCCCATGGTTCAATAGCTGGTTTCCAAGGATATTCCCCTCAACGCACATACAGATCAGAAGTATCCTCACCAGTGCAAAGAGGAGATATAACGATTGACCGTCGACACCGGACACATCATGCTAAGGTGAAATATTTACTTTCCTTGTATGTAACTAATAAAATTGAGGCTGAAAGGGTTCTGTTATTTGGATCTAGACTTTCCAAGTTATTCTGGGGGAACTGAGAAATGTATTTTTAGCTGTTTAAATAGGAGGGGGAGCTGCTACCTGGTATCATGCAGTAGCTGTTAAAGTGCAGCTTTTATCTCTGTTATGCTGTAGGGATTCAAGTGAGCTAAATCACCCAACTTTAACCTTTAATGAAGTAGGACTAGAGTTAGAGTGAAATGCTACAGTCATGCTGGCAAGTTGCAGAGTACTGGTAACCTTAGTACTAGTATAATCCAGTGGTGGGCAGTTATTTGTGCCCAAGGGCCACACGTGGAATTTGATAAGCTGTTGCAGGCCTGCTCTGCTCCCTAGAGCTGTGTGAAACAGCTGTGTCTCGTTTTGATTTCGGATTCGGCCATTTCGGAGGTCAGTGATTCATTTCAGTGTTTCGGATCACTGCTCTGTTTCAATTCAGCCAAATCTATTTCGGCATTTCAGTGCTGTTTCGGAGATTTGGATCAGCCAGGGAGAGGCAGGCACAGCCGGGTGGCTGTAGGTTGCTCCTTGAGCTGTGCCTGTTTCTTCCCAGCAGGGGGAGCCATGGTAAAAGCCCCCATTGCTTCCCCGCCCGGCCCTGTCCCCTACCTGGCCGGCCCCAGCCTAGTCCTGGCACAAAAAAAAAAGGCTTGCACTCACTGGCTGTATCAGTGGCAACTGGGGGCTCATGGCAGACCCCCCCCCCCCGAGCACCACAGGGGCATGGGGCAGCTGCCACGCAGGTGCCAGGTGGTGGAGGCAAACCCCGCTGCCCCCCAGTGCCCCATGCTGCATGAGGGAGTTCTGCAACAAGCCCTCAGAGCCCCCACAGCCCCTGCTACAGCTGGTGAGTGTAGGACTTAAAAAAAAAAGTACCAGGAGGCTGGGCTGGGCTGGGCTGGGCAGGGGATGGGGCCAGGCAGGGCAGCCATGGGGGGCTTCTGTCATGGCTCCCCTGGCTGTGCTCAGCGCAGGCTGCACCAAGCAGACACGGGTGCTGGTGCTGGCCTGAGCCGGCAGTGGCAGCATGCTGTCATCCTGCATACAGATCTGGGGCCCCACACCCCTCAGGAGGGCTGCAGGGCTGTGCCAGACTCCGCCTGGGGGACGTGGGCCCCCTGATCTGTGCATGGAATGACAGCAGGCTGCTGTCCCTCCCCCAGAGCACTGGGATTGGAAGGGACCTCAGGGACAGATTGCAGACACTGGCCAGCTACACATGTCAATATCTGAGCAGTTCTTTCCCCTCCCTCTTCTTAGTTTCTGTTTCCCTGCAAGCCTGGCTCCAAAACATTTCAGAAACATTTTGGATGGTTTCATTTTGTTTCAGAGATGCTTTTGAGCTTTCCATTTCATTTTGGATTGGGTTTTTTGGGCACCAAAAGGGGCCGAAACACCTCCAAAATGAAACAGCAGCTGAAATTTTGCACAGCCTTACTGCTCCTCCTGCCTTCAGTGGCAGCCCTTGCTCCTGATCTTGCCCCTGCTGCACCACTCTGGGCAAGCAGCTTCAGCCAGGTCTTCTGCCCCAGCACACGGGGCTCTAGCTCCAGCTACCAGGAAGGCAGCGAGAGGCTGGAGCTGAAGCTGGAGCCCCATGAGCTGGGGCAGGAGCCACCTGGGTGAAGCTGCTCACCTGCCAGCAGGGAGAACAGCAGGGACAGGAGCAGCTTCAAGGAGGCTGTTCCCAATGCAGCTGCAGCCAGCTGGGTGCTAATCTGTGGTGGGCCACCCCCAACACCTCTCCCCACCTCTGGCAGTGGCTTCTCCCACTCCTACTGTGCCATGTCATGCTGCTTTTGGCAGGTGTGTGAGGCTTCAGCTCCTGACTGCTTTCTGGTGGAAGGTGGCTGGAATCTGGAGCCTGAGCCCCATGTGCTGGGGCAGAAGCTGCCCAGCTAAAGCTGTTCTCCTAGAGCAGTGCGGTGCAGCATTGCAGGAGCAAGATCAAGAGCAGAAGCTGCTGCTGGAGGTGGGGGATACACAGGAGCTCCTGGGTGCAGCCACACTGGAAACAGCCCACTGAAAGCTGCACGTGCTGGCTGTGAGCCCTAGTGGGAGCCTGGCACAGGCTACCCTGGCATGAGTGGGTAGGGCATGGCCCCATGTGGAGTGCCACAGGGGCAGGCATGGCCTGGATCTGGCCACGGGCTGTATTTTACTCACCCCTGCTATAATGTGTATTAATCATATTTGTATATTCTGCAATAATACATGCTTCACTATAATGTAGATGCAATTGCTTGTTAATGTAGCCATTGAAGAGAATTACTGCAATTAATATTTATTTAAAAGGAAAGTGTAGTTTATCAAACTTTGTGGCTTGTGTAAGTAGCGAAAGAAATTGTCTCTGTTCGAAGGATAGAAAATCTTACCTTAAGAATATAAGATTTAACCCTACGTATGATGTACCTTCACATTGGCTTCAAGGGGCAATAAGCAATCAGCATACTCATTAATCACAATATTTGAGACCATCCAAGTGAGTTTTGAAAGAAAATTCATTTGGAATTTCAGGCTGCATTTGAGCTCCAGGCTGGTCTTTGGAAATTATGATGAGAGCTAGGTCCTCACAGAGCTGAAGCTGAAATTTTCTCATCTTCAGGCACCAATAAGACTGACTCTTTGTTTCTGGATTCACTCATTTGGTGCTGCTAAGTTATTTGGTAAGATCACTTGCACCTGGCTTCAGCAGCAGACCCTCTGTAAGACTGGTAGCTATCCCTTGCCAGCTCAGCAAGCTACACTTAAATTTTAAACCTGAATCCCCAGTGAACTTCTGTTAGCCTCAATGGCCACATACAGACAAGCAAGCACATGCCTGTTGTGGTGTCTCAAAGCAGTTTAAGATGCTGCAGGATACCTTGGAAGATTGAGTTGCACTGAATGTTTTGTAATTCAGTAGACGGCTCTGTTAACCAGTGCTGGCATTCTGGCACCTGTCCTACAAATGAAGTTGACTTGGAAAAATTATATTTAAGAAATCCATATTTAACCTTTAGTGCAAAAGACTTTGGCAGACAACCATGGATCATAATATGCAATTTTGTTTTTCATAGCATGTGTTCGTGCCTGACAGAAGGTCAATGCCAGCAGGTCTGAGCTTGCAGCCTATTACTCCCCAGAGTCTTCAAGGCAAAACGGTGAGTGGCATTTTTATGAGGTACATCAGGTTTTATATAGTCTATAAATGAAAATATGCAACACTTTTTTCCCCACTGTTTGGGGAGCAGAGGTTACATGCAGGCTTTGTTTTAAATAGAGATTTCCACACTGAAGAAAGTGATTCTGTTTGGTTACATTGAGGATTTACAAGGATACCATGTGGTTTTTATCTTAGATTTTCTTGAGTTCTCTTCTGAAACATTACAATTACCTTATTTTAAAAAATTCTGTGTTAGCAAGAAGTTTTCTATTTTAGATTTCTCCAGCATGGCATTGTAACAAAGAACTGTCTTTCTTTCTGAATACTGTATAGTCAGAAAAGAATATGTTCTTATTTGCCCATACTGAGCATTTGTCTTAGTAATAGGATGATGTATTTCCTTTGATCAGAATTTTTTTATGAATATTGATTGATGAACCTATGCAAGAGTTCAAATATACCTCAGTCCTCCCTCAACCCTTACTCCTCAAAAAAGTATGATGTTGACTTAAAATTCAGGCAATGCTTGATCTGCCAGTTTAAGGTTTTTGAATTCTCTATGCCTTCCCAAAGTTTGTGACAAATTTAAGTTGGAAATTAAACCTTAAATCCACATATGGCCCAGAACATCTGATCCCTGACTCTTGCATCCATCCTCACCAATCCACAGCAGACTGTCTTAGCTGCTCCTTACTTCCCTTTTTAGCTGCCTCCTATCTCTACCATGTAGGAAGAGAACTTTCCTTGGCTCCCTATCTCTTCACTGAGTCCTGCACTGTGGGGCTGAAATGAAGCTGGCGAATTGGATAGAAAGAGAAGTGTACTCAGTTACTTTTTGCTTGCTGCAGCAGCTGAGCCTGCTGGAAGCAGTGAGGAGTTTGAGGGTCGTATAGTCAGCAGCAACAGCAGCTGATGGGGAAAACTCCTAAGATGCTTGTGTGTTGCAACAAAAGCCCCAAGAATTGGCTTGAAATAACAACGCTCAAAGTAATATCAAGAGTTTTTGCAGTGGCATGAATCTCAAGCTGAATTTGAAATCTGAGACTTGCAACTAGCCATAAAAATAATTCAGCTTTAAATGTACAATTTGGTTCCCAAATTATGAGTAGATCTATGTAAAACATCTGTAAGAAAATGCTTTCAACCCTGAAACTATTTTAATTGGATTCTTGCATCTCTATACAAAGATATTACTGTAATTTCTGTTTTTCTGTAAATGTCATGCAGACAAAGCAGTTCCATTTCAGATTAAATTTATTCTTTATCCAGCAGCCTGTCTGCTTTTGCTGGGGATCTAATTTGAAAGTATGTTGTAGTATGAAAGTATGTGGCCTAAGTGCTTAATACATTCTTGATGGAAGAATTACTCCAGCTATTGATCCTATAGCAAGTACAGTGCCAATATAAAAATAAGCTGTTTTACAACTTGACTTTCATATTGTTTTTCAGTGAAAGATAAAGGTTTTTGATACCAGTAGTTATGTTTCAATTCCTTGCACCCTCTAGTGGACACCCTCTAGCTAAATAATTCTAGTTTCCTTTTTAATACTTATTGCTTTGCGCCTTTTGAATAAGAATGCACAGACTTTGCAGAAAATGCGGCTTGCTGTTCTTTCTTTTTTTAGCTGAATTGCACAACTGCCAAAAAAAGCTGATCACTGTGGAAATAATTATTTTATAAAACCTCTTTTATAAGTGGGAAAGTAAGGGAAAGGAACAAAGAAGTGGTTTGAAAAAGAAAAGGAAGGAAAACTGTTTTTGCAAGTACTGCTAATGAGAGGATATCCTGAAAATTGATCAGGTTGACTTGTTCCTAATTTTTGTTCTAAAATGTTCTGTTTAGAATTATCCAGGAGACTGCAACTGCTCATTATTTTTATTTGTTGAGAGCATCTTGTAACTTGTAGATGATCATAAAAGTATACTAAGTATTTTGTAAATTTGCTGCTTAATTGGAGAGGATGGCAAAAGAAACTCTTTTGTACTTGTGATGTTGTCCTGTTGTGCACATGTGTTTGCAGTTTGATTATTCTTAGAACTGAATAATATGGCTTGGAAGTATGTCTTGGAAAAGTGTTGTATTACCCAGGCACATTTTAATAGCTAAAAGGGAAAGTAAGGTCACATTCAGTCTGCTGGCCTTTGACAGTGTTCTTTTTTTATGAATAGTAAACTTCCCTTTTGCTTTTTTTTATTTTCTCCTTTCCTCATTTCCAAATAAACGCTGTGGTACAGATGATGATGATATCTGGTGGGTTGGCATATCTTCTTCACCTAAAGCTATGCGACTATCTAATGTGCTTAACATTTGTAGACTCAATCATTGTAGGGACTACATAGATCATTTGTCCTGCAAACTGCTAACCTTCATTTTGTCCATTATAGGAAATGCAGCCGGGACTATTTCAGGTTCAGGTTCTATGAGTTATTAAAAACTCCGTCTTGATCTTATGTCCTAAATACTCATTGGGTCCTTTTAAACATAGTATTACTTTTGGCATATTATTGTAAACAGTAATGAATTATGACAAAATGCCAGGAACCCATAGTTGGATTAAGTGTTGTTTAGGACACCAATTAACCTATTTTCCACTCTTTGGCTTCTTACACTGCACTCCTTCAGCCAGAGGAGCTCACACTGCTGCTAATAAAGCTGCGACGGCAGCAAGCTGAACTGAGTAGTATCCGGGAACACACACTAGCACAGCTCATGCAGCTAAAACTTGAGGCCAGCAGCCCAAAGGTCAGCTATGAAATGGTGTGTGTCATGTACCATCCTCACTAACTTTGAGCCATTCATAATCAAAGTTTGCATTGCTCCATTAGTGCAAAGTTCTCTGATTAGCTGTGGATGTAGCATAGAATGCCATTGTTTCCTTGCATACATGATGTTCTGCTATTAACCCTTTGAATGCAGCGCTTATGTCTAAGTAAAACAGTCAAAATATAGGTAGGAACACTTCTAAATATATTGCTTCTGCAGTATCTGGAAAAAAATTACAAGCTTTGCAAATTGATAAGGTAAAATATTATCCTCAAATAGGTAGTTAACAGATGCCATAAACAAGTGTATTGAGATAGGACCATAATATGAATTTGTTTTCTTAATATTCCTTCATGCCAGATGCAACTTTTTCTATTATCTTTCTGCAAGGACAGATGATCCTTAAAGCATGTAATTTTATCAAAGGGTTTATAGTTGTCTATGTAGTCATATATATAGAATTTCCACATGGACATACTGATTTCTTACATGTGTTCTGTTAAGTAAACAGCTAAATAATTCAATCAAGTAAATTGCACGATAGTTTCATTAAACAAAATATACCTGCTTTTTGTATCTCTGCTTCTGTGTCTGATGTGCTTGGCTTTTTAAAAATTTTACTGTAGTAGTTCATAGTTAAGTCACAGCCAGTTTTCATAAACAGTTATTTCTTGGACCTAAAACATATTAAAAGTTTACCCTCACATATATAAAATCTTAGTATTACAGCTTCTGATGAAACTGAAAGATGAGGAGCTGTTTTTATATCTTTTCAACTGACCTTTTCATGCATTCTGTACCTTCTATCCCTTTCCTTTTTCTTCTGTTCTGCTGCCTGCTAGAATGAGATTCTTTCACATCATCTCCAAAGGAATGCTATATATTTGGATCATCAGGTGGGATTTGAAGCTTTTTTGGGATATTTACATCCTTTAATGCATCTTGCTTGTTACTGCCAAACTAGACATATTTGGGGGAGATGCTTAAATATTTTCTGTCAATTGGAGATGTGTTTTTTATTGTGTTATGCAACTTTCTTTACAAACCACAATGCATCTTAAATTTTAGTGCATATTTAACATGTAATGAAATTATAAAATAGAATCAAACACTAGATGCTTGCAAGGCTGCTATTTTGCTGTTGCTTTTTGCTTTCCTCAAATGTAGCTAACCTGAAGTTTTATCAGCTTTACCATAATAACCAAACTTACAATGTTTTCAAACTAATAAGCATAACACACACAAAATGTATACAGTGCTACTGTTGATTGTTTGTTCTAAACAAACTGAAACAAAAAATCAAACATGTTTCTTCAAGACTTGAATTTAAAACATTTTTTCAAGTTTGATTAACATAATGTGTGTGTTTAAACAAAGGATACGTTACTTCACCGATTTCCATTTTTCTCTTTTGCTAAACCTTTTGTTCATTTTTATGTATGAATAAGATTTTACTTCTTCATAACTTCTGCTGATTTCCGAAGTGAGGGTCTAATACTTTATTGAACAATGTAATCTTTTGCTCTGAGAATAATTCTGATGTCACATATAGCTTTTGGCTTCACTGCAGGATTCAATGGGAGTTGGAGATAACCTGTGTATGAGAGCTCTTTAATCATTGAAGTGAAATCTTTTGACATTAGAAACAGAAAAAATCATAAGTACTTGAAAGGAAAAGCAGGCTAAGAGATGTGCCAGCCTTTGAGTTTGACATAAAAAACTCTAAACTTTTTCCAAACACCGTTGTCTCCTGAATTTTGTATTTAGAAGCAGCTAAGTACAAATTTTGGATCTTGGTGTCCATTCTGTCACAATACTCATTATATTTCAATACTTTAAAAAAGAAAAGAAACTTCTTGGCTCAATTTTCATTGCTTTCCACCCTGTGTATTCATTTGCACTCAGTTTACACTGGCATCAGTGCCTGTATAAGGTGCAAAGCAGCTAACAAGAAGGTCATTTCTTTCCTCAGTGTTAAACCAAAGTATTTCATTCAACTCAGACATTTTCAGCTTTAATATTGTTACTGCCTATATCGGATGTTAAACCACTGATCATGTTCCCTATTACTGATTGGTCACAAATTTTGATTTGTTAGTACAGTACAATGGATTGCTTTAAATGGAAGAAAGTAATTTATAATTTGAGAACTTCGTAAAGAAGTCACCATTTGCTTGCATTACTTAAAAAATATTCAATTGAATTGCATTTGTTCTGGAATTTTAATCAGTCTCAGTGGCTTGCAAAAGTATTTCTTTATTTCTGTGTTAGTTGGGTTTTGTTATAAACTAAATACCATCAATGAATTTAATATCCTGTACCATAAATATAAAAAAAACAGACAAAGCCTCAACCATAGATACAGGAAAGATCTGACCCTCATTTACAGTAAGAAAGTAGCATCATTGTAAAGTATAAATTCCCTAGTCACTGTATCATATAGAACAGGAGTAGAATACATGACTTGGGTTATGTGCTCAATTCCTCTTCCTCGTCTTTCTTTTGCATTAGTACAAAATGTCCCCTGCACTAAATAAATCCCTGAGGATTCTGTAATCTACTTTAAACACCTTTATGGCCAGTGTCTCAACTCTTCCCTTCGCTAATTAGTCCATTAAAATGACCGTTATTTTTAGGAGGGAAAATCCTAACGCTTGACATAAAATTGTTGTTGTGTATTTCCAGGCCACAGTTGCTTATTATAACAACTTTAGTGACCTTGACTGATCTTTAATCTCTTTGGGTTGCTACATGACAAGTATATATATAATTGCAGATTTCTTCTCTTAACTTGCATGTAATCTCCAAGTACAAATTTCATTAAACTCTCTCCTTGGAGCATAAAAGGACTCAAATCCTTTTATCATTGTTATCCCCTTACTTAGATGCAGAGAATGTAGTACTTTGTCATAAAGACTGCACAGAATATTTCTGTCTTAGATGCAAAATCTTATTCATGTATACATGCACAGACAGTGATTTGTGAGGACTATTGCAATAAAATATTTATGTCAGAAAATAGTTCTTTGATTGTCAAGAGCAAGTCAGGCTTTACCTGATTTCCTTCTCTGAGAGAGTGAATGGCTTTGTGGATAGAGAGGAAGCAATGATTCCTGTGCCATTCTAGTAAGCGAAGGAAATATATTCTAGATCAGTGGTTTTCAACCTTTTTTTTTTTTTCATTTGTGGACCTGTTTGGAAATTTCACATGGAGGTACAGACCCATTTAAAAATTTCAAACTGAGGTGCGGACCTCTTTTGAATTGTAAGTGTGGGTATTCACATACTTTTGATTGATTGTAGTAATCTTCCATGGCCCCCCCTAGACCATGGACCACTGCTCTAGATGAAACAATTGTAATGTGGGTATATAACTTGTTGGATCATCAGTGTCACACTGGGAGGAAATATAGAGGGGTTCCCCAGGGGCTGGTCCTGGGTACAGTACTTTTCAGAATTTTCAAGAAAGTTTTGTAGGATGGAATTGTTGCAGATGAAACTAAGCTGGATGGGGTAGCAGACACTTCGGAGTGTAGAACTAGGATTCAGAATGACTTTGATGAATTGGGGAAATGGCATGAAATAAACGGGAAGAAATTTGGACTAGTGCAAGGTACTACATTTCAGATGGATGATTAAATGCACAAACACTACCTAACTTGCAGTACTGCAGAAAGGGATTTGAGATTTATAGTGGACCACAAGCTGACTGAATCAAGAGTGTAATATTATTGCAAAATAAAGCTAATAACACACAAGAATATATTAACAGGCAAATCCATGCAGTTTTTCCTCTCTATTTAGCCCAGGTCAGGCTTCATGCAGAGTACTGTCCAGTTTTAAGCACTGAATTCCAAGGAGGAGGTGAATGAAGTGGGAAGAGGCCAGAGAAGAGCTTTAAGAGTGATTAGAGATTTAGAGTTGGGAACATTTAGTTTGAAGATGAGACTAAGGGAGTTTTATGGTTCTTCAAATGCATGAATGATGGTGATAAACTTTTTCTTTGTCTGTAGAGGGCAGGACAAGAAGCAATAGCCTTTGCAATGAGGGAGATGTAGTTTGGATATCCTGAAGAACTTTGTAACTGTGGGAGTAGTAAGTGGACCAGAACAGTGATGTCCTCAGCACAATGGATGCTAAAGCTTTCCAGTGCAGAAAGTTGTTAAACAGAAGAAAATATTAAAATGTGGCTTAGGAGGGCAGTGAAAAAAGATAAATATCTTTTGGAAAGGGAATGAAAAAAATCTCTTAGTTGATGTTCCTTGACATTTGCCAAAGTCTAGTTACATTAGCAGTGTTCCTCTGTATTCCTTGGCTTTATAACATTGAATGAAATATATAAAGCAAGTACAAAAGTTAAAGTAAAAATAAACCAGTTTGGAGGAAGATAGAGCTGTCTATTGGAAATAACAAGCAGTTCAAAGGTACGACTGGTAGATTCTCCTCGGAATTTTTCTTGTTCCTTGATCTGTGACGGGTCTCAAACTCACTTGGCCACCCCAGTGCTGGATCTGAATTCCTCAGAGGTGACCATCTGCAGGGAGTAGTAGTTAATACCCTTTGCTGCTGATGGTTAATACTACTGATGCTCACCCTTTGCTGCTGACACACATCCTCTACAGGGCTCTGTACCCTGGATAGTGGTGGCTCACCCTGCTCCTGAATTCCCAGCCCTTCTAAGAACCCTGCAAGCCAGATGTGACACAGCTCCACAGGTTGGATCCAGCCTGCAGGCCATGTTTGACACCCCTGCTTTGTGACATGAGGCAACTGACTAATTCATTTTGTACTTCAGCTTATGTTTGCAAAACGTCTCAATTAATATTTGTAAAGAACTCTGAAATCCTTAGATAAAAGACACTATATCAGGGGTAGGCAACCCCTGACATGAGTGCCAGAATGTGGCATGCAAAGACATTTTACTTAGCACGTGTGTCTTGGAGTGAATGGCAGAAAAGGGGCCAGGGATGTGCTTCCACAACAAGGATTGGATCCCTCGCAACTCCCTGGCAATCTGCCAGTGGCACACCAACATCTTAAAAATCAAGGTTGCGGGTGTTTTTGGCACTGCCCAAAAAGTTTGCCAACTCTTGCACTATATAAATACTTTTTTTGTTATGGAACATAAGACTAGAAGGACCTTCCTGATCCAGCTCCATTGTTCACTGGAAACCATTTGTTCAAAAGGATCCACAGGAATGTCCTTTCTATCTCCTTTAGCCCATGCTAGCTACAAAACACCCTGTGGTTTACAGCACAGTCGCTGGGTAGAATATTTTCTTTGTTGCTGTATAAGAGGATTCGGATTTATTTGACAAATAATTATTTTTTGGAAATGAGGGGGAAAATCAGAAGCACTCTGCGTGGTACCACCATATTTGCAGGTAATTGTATATGGGTGGATTAATGTTTACGAAAATGGCAGAATGAGGTGGAACACATGTCATATCACTGCTTGACCATTATTAAAGATCTGATTTGTTTGTTAGCCATATTTTTTTTTCTTGGGGATATTAAATCATAAGGGTGTTTCTTTTGTGAAGGCTTTTTGATCAGTAATTTGTAGTGCTAGGCACAATATTTAATTGCCTATATTTGATCCTCAAGGGCATTAAAGATTAAAATTGCTATTGAATAACAATTACCTTCACGTTGAATTTTTGGGTGTAGTGTTAAGCTAAAAGTAAATAATATAGAAGGAGTTTAGTCCATCAAGGCAGAGCTGAATTAGAGCAGTCTAGTTGAGGATAATTCCCTTTCATGGAATTATAGCCCACACTGGGAAGACTGGTGCTGCAGCTGGCCCCAGCCAGCAGTGGCAGCATGCTGTCATCGTGCATGCAGATCTGGAGGCCCATGCTCCCCCGGAGAGCTGCGGGGCTGTGCCGGACTCTTCCTGGGGAGTGCAGGCCCCCGGATCTGTGCGTGGGATTACGGCAGGCTGCTGCTGCCTGGAGCCAGCAGCAGCACCAGTCTTCCTGGCACTCGGCATGGGCTGCTCTGGGCAGACTCGGGTGTTGCTGCTGCCCCAGCCGGCTGCAGCAGCCTGCTGTCATCCCATGTGCAGATCCAGGGGCCTGCTCCCCCCAGAAAGAGTCTGGCACAGCTCCGCAGCCCTCCCAGGGGCGCGAACCCTCAGATATGCATGCAGGATCATAGCAGGCTGCTTCTGCCGGCTAGGGCCAGCAGCAGTACCAGTCTTCCTGGCGCTCAGTGCAGGCTGAGCCAAGTGCTGGTCCCAGCCAGCTGCAGCAGCCTGCTGTCATCCTGCATGCAGATCTGGGGGCCCGCACCCCCCAGGCAGAGTCCACATGGCCCCGCAGCCCTTGTGGGGAGCGTGGATCCCCAGATCTGCCTGTGGGATGACAGCAGGCTGCTGCTGCTGACAAGTGATACGGGGTTTGCTTTGAACCATTTGAGGTGCAGTTTCCTAGAAACCCCTGCAGCTATCTCCTTGAAACTTGGCAGGCATCATGCCCTCAGAAGGGGTACTATCCCTGCAATATTCATCCAGATCAGGCAAGAAATGATAAAGTTATAGGCATTTTCATGATTCCCTATTATAGCCTATGAGCGAAACATTGAAACGCATCAAGACAGTGAAACGGTTCAGACAAAGTGAAACAAAACAGTGCTTCGAAACAGCGAAACAAAACATTGTCCCTTTGAAACAGCAAAACTGAATTTCAAATGAAATGGTGCTGTTTTGCACAACCCTAAAAAAACCTCTTTCAAAATGCATGTCTGTGATTTTGGACAAAAAGCTAAAAACTTCTGAATATTTCCATACAAAATTCCACTCTATTCAAAGTTTTTTATGAGAAGGAGATATTTCTTGGCCAGCTTGACCGAGCATCCTGTATAAAAAATTTTTTAAGAACTCTCCCAGTATGCTGATATAAGAAAATTTAGGCCACTTATTTTTTAATATATAGCCTACAAGTATTAATATTTTATATTGAAAATGTATTTATACATTTGTTAATATTTTAATGTATTAATATTGTGAATGCCAGATTCTGCAAACACTTTCTTAATTGATTGCAGAACCTGTTTTAAACAATTGCACTACTGTCAATAAGCACATACTATTTATGGTTCAAATACGGCAAAAAATGTCTAACCTAGCTGAAATGTGCCAGAGGCAGTTTAAAAAAACCCCCACACACAAGGAGCTGGGCAAATACAGTGACTAATATGATAATAAAGAGCGTGTGTGTATGTACGCATGCACTCACACACTTTATTATCATATAGAAAGAACACTGCAAGATACAAAATTGCATTGTTCTGTTAGGGTTGGGAAGTGCTATTATAGACAGTAGTTCTCAGCCTTTTTCCTACTGAGACCCATTTGCCAAGATCAATAACTTGTTCCAACCTACATTCCTCTGGCCCTGCTGGTGTGCGACCCACAGTGCCCTACCCCACCTCCCTTGCCACAGCCTTGGCACCCAGCCACCTTCTCTCAGTGCCAGAACTGGCCGTGCCCCCAGCAGCCACTTGCAAGCTGGAACACTGCCAGTCTGCAAGGGAAATCCGCGCTTTCACGCTTTTTTCTGGTGCGGGCTTGTGACCCTTAGAAATAATCTTGTGACCCACTTTTGGGTCGCAACCTGGGTTGAGAAATGTTGCTATAGACCATTGTAAACTTCAGTTCAATGCCTGTGAAGACTTAGATTCTCAAAATGTGTATTGGAAGGATAGAGTCAACATTTTGCTCTTGAGAAACTGTATCAACAGGTTTTTCAGATAAGGGTTTGGATGTTACTTGTAGTGTATTTGTTTGTGCTTTAAATTATTGCAAATCTGGCTGCTTTGGTGGGGGGGATTGTTTTGGTTTGGGTTTTTGTTTTTTCTGGGTTTTTTTGTGTGTTAGTGTCATACATGGTTTGGCCACTCTGTATTTTGTCCATTTTTCCCTGATGTTTACCGTTTGGAATTTAAGGTTTTTTTGGTGAAACATCTGAATTAATTAGACTGATTTAGTAACACGAACCACAATGGAAATAATGCAGCTTCTATGAAATATTCATACATTTAAAATCTTCTGGTGTTGTCTTGCCAATATGAACTTGATGTTACATATGTTTTTCAAATGTTTATTTTTGTTAAACGATGCAAACAATAAAAGCATAGGATAAAATGTAAACTACTGCATTATTAGAAAAAAAATAGAGGCTATATTTACAGTGTCGTCTTTCAAATCTAGCCATGCTGTAAACTGATGTTTGCTGTATGCTCCTCCTGATTTGAAATAGATGAAAGAGAATGAACCTTTAATCACCATGGTTCACACTATGATTGAGAACTCGGCGCTAAGACCCCAACTGTACCAGCAAGTAAGGTCTTGGAAAGTGAATGAAATTGCTTTACCATCTGCGAAAATTTTCTTCAGTGACAGTTTTTGGTTGTTTCTCAGATTTACCCATAACATTGGTGTTTCTCTTATTTATTTTGGAAAACCACAAGTCATCCATGCTTTATTAAATGCTGCAGTATTGTTAGCATGGCTTTTGCTGAACGTTTGTCATTGAGTATTAAGTGTACCCTTTTGGATAACTTTCTGTCTAGAATTTTATACCAGTTGATGTCTTATTAGATGTCCAGTAAATTTGTTAAGTATTCAACAAGCTTCCAGCACTTGTCTAGCATGGTTCTATGCAATTAGTTTTAAAAGATGCTTCTTTATTTTGATTATTACAAAAGCATGCCAATGATGTTTACCTGGTTATTTATGGCATTTTTTTTACATTCTAGGAAGTGGATTTACAATTGTTTTGTTTGCACTTATTTAGCTTTTAGCTTTTGGAGGAAAACAAAGATCAAACTAGCTTTGATCTGGAGATTGTAGATCCAAAATACAGCGTTTGTTAACAAAGTCACAGCAAACCTAACAGAGTGTATACTTCTAGAATATGTAGTCATGGCAGTCATGGGTCTGGTGAGGCATCAAGAAGAGGAAATGTGCTGAATGGAAATATGACATAGTATTGATACTTGCACTGACTTATGAGCATGGCCAATATAAATCTGTCAGCACTGCAGGTTTTATGTGCGTGTGAGTTTTGCTGCACAATTTCTATTGTATCTTAAACATTATTGTTTTAAAGAAAAATATAGCCCAAGCCATACCAATCATTTTTCTTACCTAAATGATTATGAGATTTTGACAGGTAATGAGGTATAAAAATGTCTCACTGCCAGACAAAAGAGAATATGTTTGTTCGGTTCGTTCAAACTTGGAGCTTAGGCAAGCATGGGCATGGTTATAAAGTTGCCTGACTAAAAGGGAGAGACTAGTTTCACTCCACAAAATAGACGGATGAAATTTATGCAATTTCACTATAATGTTGGTCGGGGGGGGGTGTATTGCTTTAAATTAGCATATTATAAATCAGCTCCACAGTGTAGATTATATCTGGCATTCTGTTAACTGCCCTTAAGGTGAAGAGGAAGTGCTTAAAAACTCTAGAGACTCTTGACTGAAACACTGACATACATCCAAGTTTTCTAGGAAAATGTCTTCCACCTACATGTGCCAAAAAGGAAATCTTAATATGGAATCTTGAAGGAAGGTTCTGGGATTGGAGTGGGAGAGTGAGGGTGCCTTCAGGCCTTAAATAAATGAGTTTAAAAAAAAAAAAAAAAA